GTAAGTTTGCCCACTTACAAAGAAATTAAGAATCTATCATTTTTAGAGGTCAAAGGTGGGCTTTCTAATCTCGCTGCTCTCGGAAAAGGCCTTGGCCTGGGCAAATCCCTTATGGGAGAGAACAATTACCCTGTGATTCACGAGTTTGCCGGTTTTGTTGCCTCCTTCCATACGGTATTTGATGTGCCTGCTCGCTCCGCCTCTGCTGCTATGCTGCTCATGTCCATGCATCAGGGTTCATGAACCGTTGCCGAGTACGCCATAGAATTTCGTACCCTGGCGGCAGAGGTGGGTTGGAAACAATGAGGCTCTGGTGGCTGCTTTCTCTCATGGTCTCTCAGATGTGTTGAAGGACGAGATTTCAGCCAAAGAACTTCCTGTGGAGCTCGAAGCACTCATTTCCTTCCTAATCCTGATTGACAAAAGGCTCAGGGAGAGGCCTTCACTTAAGGAGCGTCTGCGGAGTCCTACTAACCGATTGGCGCCTACGTTTTCTGTCCCACCCGTTCCTCCCTCTCCTCCTGGGGATGGTTTGTCTGGTGGTGAGCCCATGCAGCTGGGGTTTGCTTTCCGAGAGGGAGCGGGCCTCTCGGCGTCGGGAGGGTCGCTGCCTGTACTGTGGTCTCAGGGGGCATTTTCGGCAGTCCTGTCCGGTCCGTCCAGGAAACGCTCGTACCTGAGATCCTCTCGGGGGCAGATCTTGGGTGGAGGAGTTTCCTCGTCCCCAGTTTCCGCAAAGATAAACCGCTAATCACCGTTGTCCTCTCTTGGGCGGAAGGCTCGGTGACGGCCCAGGCGTTGGTAGACTCTGGTGCTGGTGGGTTTTTTTATGGACAGTTCGTTTGCTGCCCAGTACTCCATTCCTCTGCAGGCTCGAGTTACTCCATTGGTACTCGAGGCGATAGATGGCAGGCCCCTGCAACCGCCGCAGGTTACCCACGAGACCCTGCCGGTGGAAGTAGCTATTAGGGCTGTTCACAGGGAGTTGGCCTGTTTCCAGTTAATTTCTTCCCCGCACTACTCTGGTTTTGGGATATCCCTGGCTTCAGAAGCACAATCTGACCTTTGATTGGCGGTCGGCCGAGATTCTCTCGTGGTCTCCACAGTGTGGGGCCGGTTGCATCAGTGGACCTGTTAAGGTGTTGAGTGCCTCCTTGGACTCGGTGTTGACCACTGACTATCGGGAGTACCTGGACGTGTTTGACAAGGTGCGCGCCGGTGCTCTGCCTCCTCATCGTCCATACGATTGTGCCATAACCTTACAACCCGGTGCCACTCCTCCGCGTGGCAGGGTGTATCCTCTTTCGGTTGCGGAGAATCAGGCCATGGAGGAGTACATTGCGGATGCGCTTTCCCGGGGGCACATTCGCAAGTCTACTTCTCCAGTAGGATCTGGCTTTTTCTTTGTGAAAAAGAAGGGCGGTGAATTGAGGCCTTGCATTGATTTTAGAGGTCTCAATCGAATCACGATTAAGAATGCTTACACAATTCCGTTGATAACCGAGTTGTTCGACCACCTCAAGGGAGCAACGGTCTTTACTAAACTCGACCTTAGGGCTGCGTACAACCTCGTACGGATCAAGGAGGGCGACGAGTGGAAGACCGTGTTCAACACCAGAACCGGCCACTATGAATCCCTGGTTATGCCCTTCTGTTGTGTAACGCGCCCGCGGTCTTTCAGGAGTTCATTAATGATGTCTTTTGTGACTTGATGCAGCAGTGCGTGGTGGTTTACTTGGACAACATCCTGGTTTACTCTGCGTCTATGGAGTCTCATATCCAGGATGTTAAGTGAGTGCTGCAACGATTACGTGAGAACGAGCTTTCCTGTAAGCTCGAGAAGTGTGAATTTCACCGATCCCAGGTTGCCTTTTTGGGCTACATCATTTTCCGCTGTGGGATTTTCCATGGACCCTCAGAAGGTTTTGGCGGTTCTGCAGTGGCCTTGTCCCAATGGTCTTCGGTCCATTCAGTGCTTTTTGGGATTCGCCAACTATTATCGGAAGTTTATCAGGAACTTCTCCACGCTGGCCAAGCCTCTCTCAGATCTGACCAAGAAGGGCAGTAATCCCCATGAGTAGTCATCCGAGGCCATCTTAGCTTTCGAAGCTCTGAAATCCACCTTCCCGTTGGCTCCGATACTGTATCATCCCAATCCTGGGTTGCCTTTTGTCCTCGAGGTTGATGCATCTGAGACGGATGATGACGGTTGATGCATCTGAGATGTCTCAGCGTTGGTCGTCCGATGGACCCCTACTTCCCTGTGGGTTCTACTCCAGGAAGCTTTCCTCCGCAGAATGCAACTACCAGATTGGAGACGGAGTTGTTGGACATTATTCAGGCTCTCAAGGAATGGAGGCACCTGCTCGAGGGTTCTGCGGTTCCAGTTCTCATTCTCACTGACCACAAGAACCTGACATATCTCTCGGAAGCTAAGAGGTTGATGCCCCGTCAGGCCAGATGGGCTCTGTTCTTGTCGCGTTTTAACTATGTGGTCTCCTATTTGCCTGGCTCCAAGAATGTCAGGGCTGATGCCTTGTCGCGGCAATACTCTGAGCTGTCTAAGGGAGGACTCTGAGCCAACCTCGGTCATACCTCCGGATCAGATCCTGGCTGCCATTCGTACCGGCATGAATTCTCCCCTTGGGGAGCAGATTTTGGAGGTTCAAACTGATGCTCCCTCTAAAAGAACAGCTGGTAGATGTTTTGTACCTGAGGGATTGCGCATCCGCTTGCTGCGTACCTACCATAATTCCAAGACCGCCGGTCATCCAGGGAGGAACCAGTTGTCCTGGGTCGTTTCTCGTTTATTCTGGTGACCATCTCTCCGTTCCAACATCGCCTCATATGCAGTGGCATGTTCTGTCTGTGCCCAGAATAAATCTCCTCGGCATCTTCCATTGGGCCTTCTGCAACCCATTCCCAATGGGGAGCGTCCCTGGTCACACCTGGGCATGGATTTTATTGTAGACCTCCCTGCGTCTTGAGGCCATACGGCCATTCTTTTGGTCATTGATCGTTTCTCCAAGATGTGTCATTGTGTCCCGTTTAAGAAATTGCTGACTGCGCAAGAACTGGCTACGGTTTTCGCCAGGGTGATCTTTCGCTTGCATGGGTTGCCTAAGGTGATTGTCTCGGACCGTGGGAGCCAGTTTGTGTCCAGGTTCTGGTGCGCCTTCTGCTCCCAGTTGGGTATCAAGCTCTCCTTCTCTTCGGCCTACCACCCGCAGTCCAATGGGGCTGCGGAGCGTTCCAACAAGGCCTTGGAACAATTCCTTCGCTGCTATATCTCTGACCATCAAGACAATTGGGTCGATCTCCTGCCATGGGCAGAGTCTGCGAGGAACTCGGCTGTCAACTCCTTGTCAGGGCTCCCAGGTATGACCAGAGGTGTGTGACTGAAGCAGGGAAACGCAGACTTCAGATATGTGATTAACAATGTAATTTATTAACACTAACAATACAAACATAAACGCAGTGCAATACTAAACATAATACAGTGCAAACAAACCCAACCAACCACCCACAGATAACAGTACATACAAGAAAGCGTCGTCAGGCAGGCCGAGTCAATATCAATTGGGCAGGTAGGTACAGGGGGAGCAAGCGGAGAATGGTCGGGGTCACAGGCCAGGTTCAGCAGGTAGCAAGCAGCGTAGTACAGAGGGTCAGGCAGAGGGATGGTCAGGGTCACAAGCCAGGGATCAGAACAGGTAGCAAGTCAGCAGTGGTTCAGAAACAGGGTGCAGGACAGAAACAGGATACAGGGCCCAGGACAAACACAACACCAAGGCCGAGTCTGCAAGTCTGGCCATCCCTTAAATTCACCAGTATCATCAGTTCCAGGTGTTAGCTGGCTGAAAGGTTGAGTCTCTGATTGCTGGGAGCACCCGCTGGCCAGCCCTGGTACTGCAGATCAAAAGGCAGGTGAGTCCCACCATTGCTGGCCAGTCCATTCCTGACAGTACCCCCCCCTCAAGGAGCGGCCTCAGGACGCTCCAAACAGTCCTAGCTGGGAAAAAATGTTCCACCGCCCGGGTCTGGTAACTGGCGGGATATCAAAGACTGGCACACCGGGCAGGACTCCGGGCAGCGGTACACCGGGCAGAGGCACATCGGGCTGGACTCCGGGCAGAGGCACATCGGGCTGGACTCTGGGCAGAGGCACATCGGGCTGGACTCCGGGCAGAGGCACACGGGCTGGACTCCGGGCAGAGGCACACCGGGCAGAGCCACACCGGGCAGAGGCACATCGGGCTGGACTCCGGGCAGAGGCACATCGGGCTGGACTCCGGGCAGAGGCACATCGGGCTGGACTCCGGGCAGAGGCACATCGGGCTGGACTCCGGGCAGAGGCACACCGGGCAGAGGCACATCGGGCTGGACTCCGGGCAGAGGCACATCGGGCTGGACTCCGGGCAGAGGCACATCGGGCAGGACCCCGGGCAGAGGCACATCGGGCTACCAGGCGAAGCGGCAGGCAGCGGGCCCCCAGGCGGAGCGGCAGGCACCGGGCCCCCGGGCGGAGCGGCAGGCACCGGGCCCCCGGGCGGGGCGGCAGGCACCGGGCCCCCGGGCGGGGCGACAGGCCTCGGGCCCCCGGGCGGGGCGACAGGCCTCGGGCCCCCGGGCGGGGCGACAGGCATCGGGCCCAAGGGCGGGGCGACAGGCATCGGGCCCCCAGGCGGAACTACAGGTCTCGGGCCCTCAGGCGGAGCGGCGGGTGCCGGACCCCAGATGGAGCGACAGGCCTCGGGCCCCCAGGCGGGGCGACAGGCATCGGACCCCCAGGCGGGGCGACAGGCATCGGACCCCCAGGCGGGGCGACAGGCATCGGGCCCCCAGGCGGGGCGGCGGGCGCCGGACCCCCAGGCGGAAACTACAGGCCTCGGGCCCCAGGCAGGCGGAGCAGCGGGCGCCGGACCCCCGGGTGGAGCGACAGGTCTCGTGCCCTCAGGCGGAGCGGCGGGCGGGCGCCGGACCCCCAGGCGGAGCGACAGGCATCGGGCCCCCAGGCGGGGCGACAGGCATCGGGCCCCCAGGCGGGGCGACAGGCATCGGGCCCCCAGGCGGGGCGACAGGCATCGGGCCCCCAGGCGGAGCGGCGGGCGCCGGACCCCCAGGCGGAACAACAGGTCTCGGGCCCTCAGGCGGAGCGGCGGGCGCCGGACCCCCGGGTCGAGCGACAGGTCTCGGGCCTTCAGGCGGAGCGGCGGGCGCCGGACCCCCAGGTGGAGCGAGCGACAGGTCTCGGGCCCCCAGGCGGAGCGACAGGTCTCGGGCCCTCAGGCGGAGCGGCGGGCGCCGGACCCCCAGGTGGAGCGACAGGTCTCGGGCCCTCAGGCGGAGCGGCGGGCGCTGGACCCCCAGGTGGAGCGACAGGTCTCGGGCCCTCAGGCGGAGCGGCGGGCGCCGGACCCCCAGGTGGAGCGACAGGTCTCGGGCCCTCAGGCGGAGCGGCGGGCCCCGGACCCCCAGGTGGAGCGACAGGTCTCGGGCCCTCAGGCGGAGCGGCGGGCGCCGGACCCCCAGGCGGTGCGACAGGTCTCGGGCCCTCAGGCGGAGCGACAGGTCTCGGGCCCCCAGGCGGGGCGGCGGGGGCGCTGGACCCCCAGGCGGAGCGACAGGTCTCGGGCCCCCAGGCGGAGCAGCGGGCACCGAGTCACCAGGCACGACAGTGGGCTCCGAGTCAACTGGCATGACCGCTGGCACTAGGTCAGACATTGGATCGTCTATCTGGACAGCGGGCATCGGGTCACCAGGCATCAGGTCATTTGGCTCGACAGCAGGCACCGCGTCATCTGGCAAGGCAGTGGGCTCCGAGTCAACTGGTATGACCGCGGGCACTGGGTCAGACATTGGATCGTCTGACCGGACAGCGGGCATCGGGTCACCAGGCATCAGGTCATTTGGCTCGACCGCGGGCACCGCGTCATCTGGCAAGGCAGTGGGCTCCGAGTCAACTGGTATGACCGCGGGCACTGGGTCAGACATTGGATCGTCTGACTGGACAGCGGGCATCGGGTCACCAGGCATCAAGTCATTTGGCTTGACAGCGAGCACCGCGTCATCTGGCAAGGCAGTGGGTTCCGAGTCAACTGGCATGACCGCGGGCACTGGGGCAGACATTGAATCATCTGGCTGGACAGCGGGCATCGGGTCACCAGGCATCAGGTCATTTGGCTCGACAGCGGGCACCGCGTCATCTGGCAAGGCAGTGGGCTCCGAGTCAACAGGCACGACAGTGGGCACCGGGTCATCAGGTACCGGATTGTCTGGCTCGACAGCAGGCATCGGGTCACCAGGTATGACAGCGGGCACTGGGTCACCAGGCATCAGGTCATTTGGCTTGCCAGCGGGCACCGCGTCATCTGGCAAGGCAGTGGGCACCGGGTCACCAGGCATTGGATCGTCTGGCTCGACAGCGGGCATCGGGTCACCAGGTATGACGGCGGGCACTGGGTCACCAGGCATCAGGTCATTTGGCTCGCCAGCGGGCACCGCGTCATCTGGCAAGGCAGTGGGCACCGAGTCACCAGGTACGACAGCGGGCTCTGAGTCAATTGGCACGACAGCGGGCACCGGATCAGGTACCGGATCATCTGGATCAACAGCGGGCATCGAGTCAACTGGCCTAATAGGATCGTCAGGCTGGATCAGTTCATCATGCTGGGTAGAGGCATCAGGCTGAATGCCGGCGTCCGGCTGAGTAGAGGCTTCAGGCCGAGTAGAGGCATCAGGCCGAGTAGAGGCATCAGGCCGAGTAGAGGCTTCAGGCCGAGTAGAGGCTTCAGGCCGAGTAGAGGCATCAGGCCGAGTAGAGGCATCAGGCCGAGTAGAGACTTCAGGCCGAGTAGAGGCATCAGGCCGAGTAGAGGCATCAGGCCGAGTAGAGGCTTCAGGCTGAAGAGAGGCATCAGGCTGCATACAGGCATCAGGCTGAAGAGAGGCATCAGGCTGCGTACCGGCATCAGGCTGAAGAGAGGCATCAGGCTGCGTACAGGCATCAGGCCGAGTACAGGCATCAGGCTGAGTAGAGGCTTCAGGCTGAGTAGAGGCTTCAGGCTGAACCACGGAAGGCAGGCTCACCGGTTTGGATACTGGCAGGATGGTATTGGTTGGAAAGAATTTTCGCTTTTTTCTGGTTTTAACTACTGGAGCACTGCAAGTAAACGCAGGTCTGCAAACGAATGGAGCAGCTGGAGACAGAGAAGAACTGGAGGATGGAACAGGAGAGGGGGAGCAGTTGCTACAGAGGGCTTTTTTTACAGGGTTAAAGGCAGGATAGGTGCAGCGAGTGGGAACAAGGTACTGACATGCGGTAGATAGCCAAGTATACTGGGCTGTAACTGGAGGAGCTGTTGGGAATACAGGAGTAGAGTTAGAAGCAGGACTGGGTTTTTGTAAGCTGACTGAGGCTGGGTGCAACAAGTCTGTCCATGTCTGCAGTATGGGTTGAACAAAGCTGAGCTTACACAAAGCCTGTCTGGTCAATGACTGCACTGCGTTTATACAATCTCTTAGTGTCTGTGGTAAACATGTGGAATAACGCTCCAGAAAGTAACCCACATCATCCTCTAATAACCACACCAGGGACTCTACCTGGTCTGCACTAAATGGTGGCAAAAATTCATCCCTGCATTCGGGGGTACCAGATGAAACCAACTCTGCACAAACCTCAATCAAAGGCTGCACCTCAGAGAACTCTGTGCCCTGATCTACTAGAACATGAGCGAGCCGTATACATTCTAGCAGTTCATCCCGGGTATACTCCTTCAGAGTTTGATAAGCATACTCCCTGTCATCAAACACTAGCAGATATAAATACGCAACCTCATCCAGATCCATCCTTCCCATCAACAAGCCAAGATGGCTTCCCTGTGCAGCCACTTCTGGTCAGGATTGGCCTTGGTGTAATGTCAGGGCTCCCAGGTATGACCAGAGGTGTGTGACTGAAGCAGGGAAACGCAGACTTCAGAACAATGTAATTTATTAACACTAACAATACAAACATAAACGCAGTGCAATACTAAACATAATACAGTGCAAACAAACCCAACCAACCACCCACAGATAACAGTACATACAAGAAAGCGTCGTCAGGCAGGCCGAGTCAATATCAATTGGGCAGGTAGGTACAGGGGGAGCAAGCGGAGAATGGTCGGGGTCACAGGCCAGGTTCAGCAGGTAGCAAGCAGCGTAGTACAGAGGGTCAGGCAGAGGGATGGTCAGGGTCACAAGCCAGGGATCAGAACAGGTAGCAAGTCAGCAGTGGTTCAGAAACAGGGTGCAGGACAGAAACAGGATACAGGGCCCAGGACAAACACAACACCAAGGCCGAGTCTGCAAGTCTGGCCATCCCTTAAATACACCAGTATCATCAGTTCCAGGTGTTAGCTGGCTGAAAGGTTGAGTCTCCAGGCCAGCCCTGGTACTGCAGATCAAAAGGCAGGTGAGTCCCACCATTGCTGGCCAGTCCATTCCTGACACTCCTTCTCCGGGATGTCTCCCTTCATGGCCAACTATGGGTTCCAACCCGCTGTATTGCCTGAGTTGTTCTCGCCACAGGACATTCCCGCTGTGGATAACCATCTTGCTGCCCTGCATTCCTCGTGGGGGCAGATCCAGAGGTCTTTGAAGGACTCAGCTCAGCGCCAATGTCTTCCACGTATCCCTGTTGAAGCCTCTGGTCTGTAATAGCTTTACTGCCTCTCCTCCTCGGCCTTGTCCTATCCGGGTCGACGGTCATGAGGAGTATGAGGTGAGCCGCATCCTGGACTCTCGGTTGGTCCGCGGTCGGGTGCAGTTCCTGGTCCATTGGCATGGTTATGGTCCCGAGGAGCGTTCCTGGGTTCCTTCCACGCATGTTCATGCTCCTGCCCTCCTCCGCGCTTTTCACGCCCGCTTTCCACAAAAGCCTTATGTTGAGCAGCGGAGGGGGAGGGGCCCTTGAGGAAGAGGTACTGTCAAGGTCCTACCTTTCCTCAGACCTTGTGCTGCTCCATGTGCTGGCATCCATCTTAGGTGTCTGCAAAGCATTGTGGGATCCTTTATGCTTTCAGCCCTCTGTGGCTCCTCCCCCAGGAGGTGGCGGCTTATTACATATAAGTCTGCTGTTTGTGGCTGTCCATTGCATTCGTGTCCTGTCTGTTGCACAACAGCAAGCTCCTGTTTAGCTACTCATTGCTTTCCTGGATACCGACTCTGCTTTGGCTAAGACTCCTCCTGGCTTCTGACCCCGGCTCTGGTGACCATTTTTCCTGGCTCCTGATCCCGACTCTGGCGACGATTCTGCCTGGCTCTTGACCCCGGCTTTGGCTATGATTTCCGCTGTTGGACTTGCATAGACTTGTCTTATTTTTATATTAATAAACTACCTTTAATTGCACCTCCTTGTGTGTCTGGCTCCTCGCTCCCTGACAATGTTTTAATTGGGGATCAAATACTTATTTATTTTAATCACTCAACTGCTACTCAATTTAGAACATTTGTATCATGTGTTTTTTCTGGATTTTTGGTTGATAATTTTTTCTACCATTTAAAATATACCTATGATAAAAATATAGACTCTTCCTTTCTTTGTAAGTGGGCAAACTTACAAAATCTGCAGGGGATCAAATAATTATTTTCCCCACTGTACTTACCCCATCCTCCAGAAAAATCGTGCTCCCCCAAGTCCAGTGGTGGACTGTTCGGTGGACTGTTACTGCCATCCTCACATCCAGAGTTGGTCTGTGGGACCGGTCTTGTGCTCGGAGGATCAGTGGATTAGGTAAGTATATCTTTGCTTTCTGAGCCCCTAGACAAAAACGAACATTTAACCCACTGCATGGGAAAATATTAAATTTGCCCAATTTCTTTTTCTTCTTCAAATGCCTGAAATTTAAGAAACGTCAAACCCAATAATAAATTAACAATTCACTTTATAACCATGAAAGAACAAGGGAGCAAAAATACTCCAAATCTTATGCACTATCTCAGTACCCAAGGAACAACAACCATGCATAATTAAAAATACAAACAATTTATCTGGTACAAATTTTAAAAGTGCTAACATTAAGAGACTATTAAATTGGTTGACAAATTATATCTCTTTATGTTAACACTTTTAAGATGTGTAACAAATAAATTGTTTGTATTTTTAATTATACATGGTTGTTGTTCCTTGGGTACTCAATCCATAAGATTTGGTGTATTTGTGCTCCCCCGGTTTTTTTTTTTTTATGTCATTTGAAAGATGATAGTACTCCCTTATTATCAATTAATTATTTTGTTTGAGGCACACTTAAAGACTTTCTAACTTCATAATCAAACATTTAACTAATGATAACTGATGAAAATATCCACCAGAGTAGATAATCTACTAAATCAGTGATATTTGCCTTTAATATGACAACAATTAATAACAGATGAAAACTAATACCACGTTGACTTTTTGAATGCATGTAATATGATAGAAAAAAAACACCCTCAGCTTAATTTTTTTGTGTCTAATCAGATTCAAAATGAGAGATTATGAAAGTCTGAAT